TCGACATCCTGGCCCCCGGCACTAGCATCCTGAGCACCTGGATCGGTAGCTCCACCGCTACCGTGGGTTTCCCCCCCCCTTCCCTTCTCTGATAGAAACAAGTCTGACATGTCGATAGAACACCATCTCGGGCACGTCCATGGCCACCCCCCACATCACCGGCCTCGGCGCCTACCTGCTCGCCCTGCTTGGCCCCAAGACCCCCGCCCAGCTCTGCGAGTATATCCGCACCATCGCCACCAACGGCGCCATCGCTGGCTTCCCCAGCAACACCGTCAACAAGCTTGCCTTCAACGGCGGCAACCCGTCCGGCTAAATCCGGGCATTTGACTCGGTGATGATGAGATTGAGCTGACCGAGCTGGGACTGAGTGAGGTTGAGCGTGGGGCGTCGCTCTTGACGGGGGACGCGCGCGAATGAGTGACTGACTGACTGGGGGAGTGGGTGGGTGTTTCCCGTGACGGAAAAGGGGGGGGTACCCGAGATGGAACAGTTTTGTCTTCTTTTGTGTTATAGTTAGTCCTTGGGCTGCCAGTCCGATGAGGAGGCCCTGGGCATTGGTTTGGCCAACCAAGAGCGTGTTTATTTCTTTCATAGAGCATCGCGACGAAATCATGATTTCAAGAACAGTTCCGTACCCGCGTGACTGAGTCCCCCTTCAGCGTTAAATCCTCCTTGCTTCGGCTGCTCATCAGCAACCAATCTCATCAATTCACAGGGTCTAGTCCGTCTCATGGCCAATGAACTAGAGATAGAGAGAAAATAGTACAGTCGATTATTACAACTGGCCGTGCTGACCGACGGTACTCCCTACATCACAAACAACGAACTGCCTGTAACCTCTGCGTTTCGGGGTTCGCGCGGGCCCTCATGCTCAAGCCCAATATTCGATCACAAATTCCCCGTCATGAGAAACGGTTTAATAGATCCCGGGAATGAGCGACCACCGGGTCTTGCTCTTGTACAGACGCCATTGCTCGCCATACTAGAAGAAACAATCTGTCAGCACTCGTTCCATAACCTCTCTCGACCCGGGCTCGGCATCGACTTACACGCTTCGTGCAGTAGTTGTCCAGCACAGGAACCCCGCGCGTGACGAAGTCCCTGAAGAAGAACCAGAACACAATGCCGCCCCAGATCGGGCCGCCAGCCGCCAGGGCGTAGCCTGACCGCCACACCGTGTAGGCGCTGTAGTTGATATGCCGCGCGATGCTGAACAGGCCGCCGGTGTAGGCCTTTCCCTTGTTCTCGGGGCGGGCCTTGAACCGCCACCGCTGCAACTCCGAGACGCCCTCGGCGATCAGACCAGAGATACACATGGCAGCCCCGAGGAGGAAGGTTGGCGAGAGGGTGTCCGGGTCGGGATGGGCAGGGGCTATAAGGCCAACCCGAGAGAGCAGCGCGCTGGTGGCGGCCGGGATGAGCGGCGCAAAGATGGGGGCGATGGTCGAGGCGATGCTGTTGAACGAGTTAAAGATGGTGTTGAAGAGGGATATGCCCGCGGCGCTGCCTAGGCTCATCTCGTTCTCGGTGAGGAAGATGGCCCAGAGGCCTTGCTTCAGCCAGCTGCCGAACGCAAAGAACAGCAGCAAGCGCGGCTGCAGCGGGAGGGCCGCAAGGCTGGCGAGGATGGGCGCGGAGGAGCCGGTTGCCAGGGGCGCGGGGAGCGTCGGGATGCCCAGGAACTGCAGCAGCGGGTTGGCGGCATGGTGGGCGAGGAGGCCGTACTGCAGGGCAACGTCGGCGCCGCGCAGGCCGACGAAGAGGGCCAGTCCGCTGGGGGTAGGCCGCTTCACGCGCGAGACGTTGTCACGCAAGCTGGGCTCGGGTTTCGCCATGGTGTGTCTGTCTTGGCTCTGTCTGTCGAGATACAGGCTAGGCTCTGGAAAGAGGTTGCATCAGGAAAAAAGGAAAGTTCTCAAACAGCACCGACTGGAACGTCGTGTTGGCTTTGCCCAGTTCCATGCCCACGGACATATTCTGTCGGGTCTCGCCAGGCCCGATCCCCGACCATTAATCATCATTACATGCCTGTCAGAGGCTTTGTTTGACAGGCAAATTGGTAAGCGACCCGCTTGAACGGGGTTCAGCGCCTTTCAGGCTAAGGGGTAACCTTCTGGCTGCATGCCAAGCAACTGTCATCCCAGGCACACACATTCTCTCTTCGTTGAATGGGCGCTGACACTAAGATGACGTAAAGTCAGTAAGCCTCATGCGTTGGTGTTGAAGGACGTCTTTGAGGATACGAGCAACGGGGCCGACCAGTCAATGTATCCGGGTCGAGTATAACTATTGTGACCATGGCTCGCTTTGATCAAGTTCCGGCCTCGTTCCGGATTCATCGTCTCGCAGCAACAACAAACCCAGAACGAATCGAAGCAACAGCAACGAAGCCAACAACCCTAAAACCATGTCGAAACTCATCACTGTCTTCGGGGCCACTGGCAACCAGGGGGGCTCCGTGATCAAGCACATCCTCGCAGATGCTGTCTTGTCCAAGGAGTTCAAGATCAGGGGTATCACCAGGGACACATCCAAGCCGGCCGCCCAAGCCTTGGCCCAGAAGGGTGTCGAGTTAAAGAGCGTATGTCTGCTATTCCTAGAAAAGGGGGTTTGGCTTTGAGGAGGATGCTGACACCCGGTCTTTCAGGCGAATCTGGACTCCAAATCCTCTGTTGTCGAGGCTGTTGCCGGATCACACACCGTGTTCCTCGTGACAAACTACTGGGAGTCAAAGGACGCCGCAAAGGAGCTTTCCCAGGGCAAAAACGTCGCCGACGCGGCCAAGGAGGGCGGGGTCTCGCACATCATATTCTCCTCGCTGCTCAACGTGACCGAGACATCTAGAGGGCGACTGACCCACGTCCCTCACTTCGACGCCAAGGCCGACATCGAGCAGTACATCCGGGGGACGGGCGTTCCGTCCACTTTTGTCCTCCCGGGGTACTTCATGTCGAACTTTACGCACATGCTCCGCCCGAAGGAGGACGGATCACTCACGCTCGCCTTCCCTGTCAGCTCTCAGGCCAAGTTCCCTCTGCTCGATGCCGCGGGCGATTATGGTAAGCAGCAGTCCGCTTCACGGCAGCTCTGTCAGCAGTCCATCTAACGAGTCATTCCACAACAGGCAAGTTTGTCAAGGCCGCCATCAAGCACTCGGCATCTTTGAACGGCAAGCGTGTCTATGCCGCGTCGGACTACTACACGCCCGAGCGCATTCTTGCCGATGTCGAGGAGGTTACCGGGAAGAAGACTGCCTACGTGCAGCTCACGCCCGAGCAGTACAAGGCTGCCCTCCCCGCGGCCACGGCGGACGAGATGCTGGAGAATCACCTCTTCATCGAAAAGCCGGGGTACTTTAACGGGGAAATCCTGAAGGAGAGTCTGGACTTGTTGGATGAGAAGCCGACGACGTGGAAGGAGTTTATCACGAAGAGTCGCGCGTTCCATTGAATTTTGTACATGGAGGATGTTAGAACCAAGGCACCACCTTGGGTCTGACCGCAGTCAACACCAGTGGCTGAGCCACACGCTATGGTAGCAACGGCCTCAACAGAAGGCCGTGGAAAGGATCACAGCGGCAGCCATGATGATATGAGGGCACCATGGGAGGCCCCAGCAGGAGGGACCGTGGGCACCAGGCGGCTATAAAAGGGTGAGGACCACGCCCAGGGCAACACACAGGACAGACCACTTCCACAATTGAAGAAATTCCCAACACCACACACATCGTTATGTACCCATTTTCCAGTGCCTTTCAGTGCCCCCACACAACCACTGTAGTGGTTCGATTCCGCTGTTCCAACAGAGGATATCCACGAGTGCCACAGTCACAGTTCCAACCAGCAAATTCATAATGTGTTTGCGTAATTAGTTAGTTATTGTGAACATCCGCTGTAAACAAGAATTAGTCAAGCCAGTTCAGGGGAACACTCAGGGGAACCAGCTCCAGAAGATCCAGCCCTTGTGGCCCCGTGACCTGACCCCTGACACAGCCCTGGCCAACCAACCCAAAGTCGCAGCTCCAGCGCATTTGTCATTTCCACAGCGTCGGCCAACTTCGGACTCCGAACCCATCCGCTTGCTCATCACCCAACCTCAACAACACACCCCGGTTGAACGGTGAACCTCCACCACAATGCCCACCAGCACCAGCACCACACCCCACCTCGACCCCGAGCTCTTCGAGCTCTGCGTCCGCTCCTTTGCCCACATCCCCCCCACAGATGAGAACCACACCGTCGCGGCCGCCGTCCGCGGCCGCACCGGCGAGACTTTTGTTGCACTCAACGTCTACCACTTCACCGGGGGTCCCTGCGCCGAACTCTCCGTCCTCGGCGCGGCAGCGGCTGGCGGGGTATTGGCTGACGAGATCGAGACGATCGTTGCTGTGGTCCGAAGGGAGGGGGATGTGTTTGGGGTGATTAACCCATGTGGGAGGTGCAGGCAGACGCTGCTGGATTATAACCCCGGGATTAAGGTGATTGTGGTGGATGGGGAGGGAAGGGAGGTGGAGGTTACGGTGGGAGGGTTGATGGTGTATGCGTATGTTTGGGGGGATGGGAATACGGGGAGGAAGGAAGAGAGGGAGGCGGTGGAGGTGTCGACGGGGTGAGGGGAGTTGAAGAGGGGTTGGTGTATCGATCATGAACATGTCCTTGCCCTTCTAGCTGTTGTTCCGTATGACAACATGCCAGTGTTATCCTCTGCCCGCCTTGAGCAGTTCATTAAACAGTTGAGAATACTTCCCCCCTCTTGTGAGCCTCTGCCATGCCGCGCGTTCGGCTGGCATCATCAACTTGAGGCTCCCGCAGGCTGTGGGGCAAATCATTGCCGCCCAAACCCCGTCAACTCTACACTCTATCCTTGGCCTCACCACCAATTAACTATCTCTCCCAGGAAATTTTATTATTTTCCCACGAGTTGCAGAGGGAAAAGCGAGAAGGCTTGTGGCTCTCTATTAAAAAGCCCCCAATCCACCCGATTCAGCAACTGTAAAAGCCTGCTTAGCATAGTGGCTAATGCGTTGCACTTGTATCACTTCGACGATATGCAAAGATCACAGGTTCGATTCCTGTAGTAGGCATTTCTTTTTCAGTTTTTGTCCCCGCGCTGACCATTTTTCACTGGCAAAGGCGAGAGCAAAACAATGCTGTATCGTCTTGCCCCCGAGCCCGAAGCATCGATGTGGCTCAATAGCCCCAAGTGAGGCTGGTGAGGATGGTAATGGCGTGCGTGGGCTTCATTCAGGTCTCAGACACTGCCATTGCTGCAATATGAAACTGCCTGCACCAAACCCACCAGTGATGAATCATCCTCTTCCGGGTCTCTCTGATTATCATATGGTCTAAACGTCATGCCCAGGGAGGCAACCTTCTGGAAGCTAATCAAAAGGGTAGGACAGGAAACCTGCAATTGAACAACCGAGCATCCCTATTGTTGATGTTGTGTTGCAATGCAGCACCCAAGCTTACATGTCGTACGGGCTAAAGATGCCCTGTATTTTGGGGATGAAACACGTTTACCCGGGCTCTGGGTTTCCCGCTGCGCTGTGGTCCTACCCACTCAACACTACTGATACACACCCTCCTGCATGAACCACTGCCGCCAGCATGCGCTGAGCACTGGCAGCCAAGGACAAGTTGGGAAAGGGGGGTGGCACAACACAGGGTTGCCCTGCGCCCCCCGGGTGCTCCCGTCCCGAACCTTCGCTTACCATGGGTGGCCGCTCACACTCGGCCGGTTGCTTCTCTGTAGCCGCCGGATCCGGGCCACTAAAGCGCGCCAAAATTAGGACCGCCGCGTCTACGCGGCGCCCTCTGTGGCCATAACACAAGCGCCGCATGGCTCGCTTGTCCGAAATAGTGGCCGTGTGCTCGGCGACGACGACATTGATTACGCGCGGGAGGCCTCGCTGGATAGGAAGCGCGGGTGCGACGGACGGAGTTCGATACCTCGGTTGTGGCTCGAATTAGGCGCACACTAGGGGACTTAATAGGTCTGGTATAGGGTCATGGATAGGGACCAGCCCTGGGAAGCCCGTGGCTGGGGGCGGTCTTCCCGGGGCATCGTCAGAGGCACGGTTCAAGTGGCTGGAGCAGATTGTCACATGTTGATCAAAGTTGAATTCGAGCTTGAGACTGGAATAGAATGTTGCAAAGAAAGATCATCGAGAATCAAAACAGCAGGAGGAAATCAAGCCAGATGAAAGCAAGTAGGAGATCAAGCAAGCAAGACGAAAAGGAGAAAGAGCAGTAAAAAAGAAAAGACAAGATCCTTCCCATCCTCTAAGTCCCGTCTAAAAGTTCGTAACAGTAGAAATAAGACAGACAAGAGAAGCGAAGCCCGTTTCCCAAAAACCAAAGCAACCTCCCAACAAGGGCTCTCTTGCCCGGATATCAAAGAAACCCAGATGACCTGCCATCTAATCCTAAATCCAGAAACCCCATGCCTAACCCTGCTGAAACAAAATATCAACCCAAACAAAAAAATCCAACAAAACACACCCCTTTAAGAATCAAAAATGGCTCCATAAGCCGGCACCCCCCTCGTCTCCAACCCATAGACCACCTTCTTGGTAACCCTCTGATTCGAAATGATGACCACCGCCTCCCCCTTCCTCCTGACCCCGTTGACCTCCCTCCCCTCCTCACACACCCTGTACGCCAACCTCACCAGATCGGGCCGCCTGCTCTCCTTCCCGCCCTTGCTCGTATCAATCACCACTGCATTCGGATCCGTTTTATACACCAACTCCACCACCTCCCTCCCAAACGTCTTGACAGGATCCTTGGTCGACCAGATAATCCGCACCGGGTGGCCCGGGTTCTGGACAAACAGCGACAGGCAAGGTGCGATGCCCGACCCCGTCGCGACAACCACGCACGGCGTGAACAGCCCCGCGACGCGCATCACGCCGAACTGGGGGGTGCCCCGCGTGTAGATGTGTTTGGGCGGGGAGGCGATCATCTTGCGGGTCCAGTCGCCCGCGTTGGAGATGATGACGGAGAATCCGCGCTCGCCGGCGTGGGTGAGGGTGCCGGCGGTCGAGGGAGCGGTGAGGGCGTGGGATTTGAGGGCCGCGAGGGTGGGGACGACAATGTCCTTCTCGGAGTCTTTCTTGGCGAGGGTCAGGGGGAGGGGAGTGGTGGTGTGGCAGGTGCAGCCGGGGCAGTGGGAGGGCGTGGCCGGGGCGGCGGGGAAGGGGATGACGCCAAAGGCGTGGGTTTCCTTGAGCGGCGCGTCGGTCAGGCGGATGGCCTGGCCGTAGTGCACGTCGCGGTACTTGAAGTTGAGCTTGACGCAGTGCTGGGAGAGGACCTCGGCCTCGACCTCGCGGCGGCGCAGGCGGGTCCAGGGGTAGAGGACCAGCAGGGTGATCGCCACGAGCATCCAGAAGTTGGGTGAGACGAGGAGCGCGCGGCCAAAGGGGGCGCCGCTGGCCCCCGTGGCGTCGGCCGCGAGAAGCATCGTCTGCGCCCAGAAGAGCAGCACGGCCAGCCAGCCCATGAAGCGGTGGATGCCCTCGAACCAGTTGTGCATGACGCGCCGCAGGTGGGGGTGCGCCGAGATCAACATGGACACCAGCAGGAAGAGGATTAAGTAGCTGACAAAGTAGATGTGGCTGCGGACCGCGGTGAGGGAGTCGGCGCGCTGGAAGTCGAGCGTCAGGAGCACGAGGAAGGCGAGGTACCAGAAGGTGGCGGCGACGGCGCCGCTGCTGTGGATGCCGCCGTACGAGTAGACCTTTGCGGCGAGGGTGCGGAGGCAGAGGGGGAGGTTCTTGGTCCAGGTGCCAAACACCCAGAACATGGCGTTGACAACGTGCTCATTGCGCACGAGCATGGCGGCGAGGATGTTGGCTGTCACGGCGATGCTGGCCTGCTGGTAGGTGAACTGGAACTGCTCGCCAGAGATGGCATGGCGGGCGATGAGAACGGCCAGGGCGGCGATGTTGCCGAGATAGACGAGCCCGAATATGCGGCGGTAGACGGATCCAAAGTTCCAGCGCAGGTAGCGGTATAAGCGTGGGCCCTTCTTGGGCGGCAGTGCGGAGGTGCTGAGGCCATGGCTCTCGAACGGGTCGGATGAATCTTCGGCGAGGAGGGCCTTTGGTGCTTTGAATTCCTTGGACTCCAGCGGGGGTGTGCCCGCGAGCGTGGATGAGGACGAGTTGACAGACCCCGCGGCCTCTTCCTCGTCGCGCGGCGGGCGAATGACGCTGGTGCGGACGCCGAGGAAGCTGCTCCTGATGGGCCGCACGCTCGAGTTGTCATCGCTGTGGTCGGACTCGCAGTCTGAGACGTCGGTATCGCCGAGGACGGGATATGTGGAGAGGGGCAAGGGAGGGAGGGGAGCCGCTGTGCGGGGTGCGTGGAAGGGGAGCGCGTGGCTGGGCATAGATGCGGGGCGTGTCGGTCTTGGGCGGCGAGGGGGGATGGACGGTGAGGGGGAGGCAGGGCGCGGGGGCCGGATGGGCCGTGTTGGGGGCGTCAGGTTTCTTGAAAAGGAAGCCATCGTAATGGGCTGAGACGGAGTGGTGATGGTGTTGATCGGCGGGGTCGCCACACTGGTCTGTGGTGGTGAGACGATGGCGAAGAGTCAAAGGGGTCGAGTCGGTGTGTGTGTTGGTCAACAACTCCTTGTCCTTGTCTGGTGGTAATGTCTGAAGTCGATGAGATGAGGCCGAGGAGGTAGCCTGGACTTATAGACATTGGAGATGTGTGAGATGTCTTCACATCCCGATGCCCAGTCCATGGGTGAACCCGCCGGCGGCCCGCCATGGACACCATCATGTGTTGTTCATGCACCGGTGGCCCGCTGGATGTCCTTGGAATAGAACCGGTCCACCAGAGGAGACCGGCGAGGGACGATATCAGGAGGCGACATGGCCCGGTGTTTACCCCTGAGGGCGACATGGTACGACTATGTGGCCTCGCAGGTCGCCATGGGTCTCGCCCAGACGGTCCGAAGGGGGAATCGCGGTGCACGGGTCATGCCCGAAATAGGTAGGGTGTAGACCGGCGAGGGTAGGAGGTGGACGCTGGAGGAGGTCGAGACGGGGAGGGTGTGGTTCGCGTGCGTCGACAGGCTCGCCGGCATTCCGGTCCCCGTGGATCGGCTGAGAAGGTGTGGCGCGGCTCTGGGAGGCAGGGGTACGTGTACGTATTCCGCAGGTATCATGGATGCATGGAGGAGCACTGCGCGGGTACTAGCTGCATGGCATCCCCCCAGATGCTCCATGACGCAGTCGTGTTGTATACATACCCTGCAGTACCGATCTCGTGCTCTCCTGCAAGGTCGATAGGGCGGGAGGGAGGCTGAACCAAGGTCGGGTACCATGCATGCACGATATTTGGAGACACGGGCTGCAACGAGGGACGGAGACAGGGGGTGGGGGAAAGGGGGGCTCGCCTCAGGGTGCTACTGGACGGCGGGAGCGCTGGAAGCAACGTCAGGTCCCGCTAAAACAAACGGGAGAGGCGGGGGGAGGAGGGATCTGCGCCATGGAAGGCTGCAGCCCAAACTCGTGGCAGAGAGCCCGATCGGATCTTCGCCAGGGGGGGTCGGTTGTTTGGTTGCGCGCCCTGGCATCGTCCAGCCAGCCTCCACACGCAGCACACGCAGCACAGCAGCACCGCCGTGTTGCGGCTCCACGTTGTGACGAACACACTGGCATGCATCGCATGAAGCTGTCACGATCGACAAACCCCGGGAGTGCTAGGTCCCGTCGGCGCAGACAAAGAGCTTGGAGCTTGGGGCTGGATACCAAGTCTGGCGGCTCAACATCCAACGCCGTCAACAGTGCGCAATAGTCGGCTGCAGCTCTCTAACTCAGTGCTGGCGACACCCAAAAATGGCATTCCTCGGCTGCAGATGCTGCTTCGATTGTCGCCGTCGCCTTGTGAAAAACCAGACGGGCAGACAGGCAGACAGACGCGGCTGCCACCCATTGACGGCCATCCATAATCGACCACCCATCGGCCATTGGCGCTCAGTCATCGACCATCGACCTGTCGCTTGCGGCTCTGGAGATCAACGTGTTTATTCTTGGAAGTTTCCGTGGCCTTGGCGATCGAATCAGCA